AGAGGGGAGAGGGAGGATGCTCACCAAGTGATGATCACTGCAGTTTAAGGAGTGGGATGAAGATGTTCTGCAGTTGGCCCTGCTCAGGAAGCCTAAAGAACATGGACACTGAACATTTGGCTGTGGCTGCAAACCCAAGTTTTCTGGGGAACCTGAAATTTAGATTCACTGTTCAAGGACAGCCTGTGGGTGTCTTTCACGGCCACCCCAGCAGGGATCTCATCTGTATGACTTCAGCCTTTCAGGCAAGTCCCAGCCTGTCACAAAGAGCACCCAGTCCTCCTGCCACCTACTATGGAGATCAACCTTGGCAAGAGAGAACTTCCTCTTGCTGGAGCAGTCTCAGGGTGAGCCCCATTGTCAGCAACGCTGTCTCTGTGCAGCAGGTGCAGTGTTAACTCTGGTCTCTCCTTTTCAGGGCATTGCTGGAGCAGATGGCCTCCCAGGTGACAAAGGAGAGCTGGTAGGTGTCCTCAAGTTCAGTAGGGTTGACTCCTCAGATAACAGATTGCCTTGTACATCTTCCTGCAGCTCGGGAGGTTGGGCTTCAGAGGGGCATTTTCTGAATGGGTCATTCTTTCTTATTTCCCTTTTTTTCTAACAGGGTCCCTTTGGTCCCCCTGGCCAAAAAGGAGAGGTAAGTGTCAGATGCTGAGGGTTCATGCCCCAAAAGGTTTGGGAATAAACGTGACTATTGCATCTTTCAATGTTGTATGTCAATAAACTAAGTTCTGGTGCCATTCCCTAGAAACATGTTTTCCTTACAGTCGTGCTGTAGGATCTGTGAGAATGACAGGGGGTTGTAGCATTCAAAATACTGGAATGTGTTTGATCATTTTGCTGCATCAAAGACTCCTGTTTATGTGTAAAACCACCCATAGGATGTAAGAATCGTACAAATCAGCCAGGTCAGTCAGGGAAACCTGACAAAAGGCTTAACTAATGACCAGGAGAAAACAATGGATCATATCTTCAGTTTTCAGTGGTTTTTGCTTTTTCTGTCTCGTTACAGCCAGGAAAAAGAGGAGAACTTGGTCCAAAAGGTGCCCAAGGACCCAATGGGACAGCTGGAGCACCGGGGATCCCAGGACATCCGGGGCCCATGGGCCATCAGGGGGTGCAGGGTGTTCCTGGCATCACAGGAAAACCTGGGCCTCCTGTAAGTGTGCTCTGCTTCTGGGGCACAGTCAGGGAGCCTGTGAAGTGAATAAATGGATCGTGGGGTTTGGATGCATGTTCAGAAAATAAGGTCCTGCATTTCAGCAGTGGGATCCTGTGCTTCTTCCTGAGCTGCTGGAAATGTATTTTGTGTCCTGAAGCTTCTGCCAGGGATGATTATTGATAACATGACTTGTATAAGAACAAATTTGTCTGTTAATTGCAGGGCAAAGAGGCCAGTGAACAACATATCAGAGAACTCTGCGGGGAGATGATAAATGGTGAGTATCACTGAGAGAAAACTGGCTTAATTACCCTATTAGCTGAAGATGAGTAGATCCTGAACATAAGGTAGCTCCTGAGATTTGTTAGTTTTCTGTCTGGATAAGAAAAAATACATTGACCTTTAATGCAGGGAAATTATTCAGGAGGTCACCTTGTTTCTGGGATGTCTTTCATTGTTCTAAAATTAGTATTTTTCAATAACTCATCTTGGCAACAGACAAAGTACACTGAAAGAAGCTTTGACACAAGTGCTGTGCCAGCACAGGCTGTGAGAGTGTCTGCCTGCCCTAACCTGTGTCATTCTGAACTTCAGCTCCCACCTCCTCTCTGTCCTCAGTGCCCCCCATCTCCTTGGAGCAGAGCCCCCCAGAGTGTCCTTCTTTCTTGAGAGTTACTGTTCTGCATTTGGAGGTTACATTCCCCATTTGGGATGAGGTTAAACTCGGAAAGTTTGCTTCAGAAAACTTGCTTTAATTATTTAAGCATCATTTGTTAGAATACTTGATGTCACTTAAAGTGGTTTTGGAAACAGGAAACATCAATGGCTTAAAACCCTGCAGATTTATGATGAAAATCTCCCTCTGTGGAGTACAAAAAACTCCAAAGAAGCTTCAGGTGGGCTGAGAGGAGACTCAGTGTTTCCTTCTGCCAGAAGCAGTAAGTGTGTGGCAGTGGCAGGAAGATCTGCTCAAGCAAAGAGTGAAGAAGTTGTCCATGCAGTTTTTAATTGTGTTTTTCAGAGCAAATTGCACAATTAGCTGCTAATCTGAGGAAACCCTTGTCCCCTGGAATGACGGGTCGGCCTGGCCCAGCCGGGCCCCCAGGTCCTCCTGGAGCAATGGGAAGTGTTGGCCATCCTGGTCCTCGTGGTCCCCCTGGATACAGAGGGCCGACAGGAGAGCTTGGAGATCCTGGCCCCAGAGGTAAGTGAAGACTAAAGCAACCTGCTTCTCTTTAATGTCCACTGAAATAAATTGCAAAATAAATTCAGCAGTGGGGGGAAAAGAGATCAGGCCTCGATGGAGTTCTAGAGGGGGGTTTGCATCTTTGCGGATGCCCTGTAAGCAGAGATCCTAGTAATGTCCTGAGGATTTTCAGCTTCCTCTTGGTCTCTCCCCTTCCTGTCCTTGGCTCCAGTGCACGACTCACTGTCAAAACTCTGTTTATGATTCAAGGTGACACTGGTGAAAAGGGAGATAAAGGACCTGTTGGTCAAGGTATCGATGGGCCTGATGGTGATCAAGGACTTCAAGGTAAGGCTGTGCAAATAATTTAAACACTCCATCACTAAAGCAAAGGCTTAAGAACCACAGAATGTTCTGAGTTGGAAGGGACCCCTCAAGGATCATCAAGTCCAACCCTTAGGGTCAGCTCTGCATATTGCTGGTAGTAGATTATCATCACCACTCCTGTTACTCAGAATCTTAATTACAACTCGACTGGAGGAGGGGCAGTGAATCGAAGCTGCTGAAGGCCACAGCCTCCCACTGGGGAACAAGCTGGTGACAAGGAAGGAGGGACAGCTGTGACTGCATCTACTCTCACAATAAGTGAGCTCACACAGCCAGGACATCCCTTGACCAGGATATTCAGGGATGAAAAAACGCAATGCACGTACTCCAGATTCAGGGTAAATTTATTGAAAACACCTTGTACTCAACAGGCCATAACAAGTGTGATGTACAGACACTCAAAGATATATTAAGATCTCTAAAAGTAACACATATATACATATATTAAAAATAAAATAGAATAAAAAATAAAAAAAGAAGAGATGGAAATACTTCATGTAGTCTTTCCCCCTTTCTTGTTTAGGACCACCTGGTGTGCCTGGAATTACTAAAAACGGCCGTGATGGGGCTCAGGGTGAACCCGGCCTGCCAGGGGATCCTGGTACTCCCGGTACTATTGGGGCTCAGGGAACTCCAGGAATATGTGACACGTCGGCTTGCATGGGAGCTGTTGCAGCATCAACTTCCAAAAAATCATAAACCAACAGTACAAGAAGTGAAGAAGTGACTGAATATTTAAATAAACAGTGCATTGTAAGAAAACAGAATCCTCCTAGTGCTAAATGGACAGATGCTCCTTCTGTTCTGTTAAGTGGAGACTTTGACACAGTTCTATGAAAAAGAAAGCATCAGGTGAAAACTTTAATTAAAAGATGCTTTATGAGTATTTTTCCTCCCCTCAATTATTTTCCAGAATTTTTACTGCTAAACAACCTCACCTTTCCTTTCTCCCTTTGCTCAAGAGTCCTGCAAGAAGAAGCATTGTTCCTTTTTTACCATCACCCCCCCATGTACTAAAGATCACGACTTCTTGCTGTAAAAGTTTGAGCCTTTTCAATTGAATCCCTTGGTGGTGCTGCTGCCACTGACTTCAGTTCTGCAGGTTTGTGCACAAAGACACACGTTGTTAAGGTACTCAGGCACAAAACTTCCTCTCCTATCAGTGGAAATCATGTATTTAAATATCCTGTATTTCAATATCTTAACCTTCTGGCCAAAGTAACGACCACCACTTACATATATGCTGTCACTTCACAATTTTCAGATTGCACCTCAAATATTTGCCAAGACAAGTGAACAGCAATCCTCTTGCAATCAAATTCTGCAAAAGGTGTAATGTATATATTTTAATTTTGAGGGAAGAATTTCTGTATATTTCCATATGATAATAAAGGAAATGAAGTAACAGCGTTTTCATGACCTCTACTTAAGCTATTTGCACAGTAATTGTGATGGAACCCCATGTAAGAAAGGATGCTCTTCTAAAGTCCAGCCAAAAGCACCTGTATGAACTGTTGTAAAAATAAAAGGAGATTTTTTTTAACCTTTTCTTTGTGATGTTGTGTCATTTACACACCAAATTAACTTAGCTGAACTCCATTTTCCAGAACTGGTTTTACTAGGATTGTTTGGATATAAATTGCTGCAAAATTGTCCTTATCCGTGATTTAAACCAGTATTAATTTTGGTAGACCTTCTTATACTTTAAAACTTGCTAAGCATCATCTATTTTTAAAAAATTAATAAAGCCACTCTCAGCTCACACACTGTTCTATCTCTGTCCTATATTTCCAGAGCCTATGAGTAAAGTGTCATATTTTTCTTTAAATACAAAAATAGTTTGTGCATTTAAATATCTACTGTTTACAATATACCACTCTTGGTCTAAAGTAACAATACAAGAACTTGTTGGACAGTTGTGTGACAGACATTAAAAATAGTACTCTTTGGGGCCGAGTATGTTAAATATGTGTGCAAATGGAAAATTCATAATATGCACAATTTAGAAACTAAGCACTTGCTCAAATAATTAATATAACCTTTACATTTTAAATGGAGAAATGGTCATTATAATATGGTAACTTTAGTTCTTCTTCACAGTGGAAGAGTACGCTTGCACGTAGCCATTCAAATAACAGGACAGATGGATAATCTACAACTCTGCCTAACTGTACTGGATCATCTTTTTTAAAAAAAGCAAAATCAAACAATTAAATAAACCCCCAAAGCAGGATGACAAAACAATTTTGTAAAACTAAAGGGTAAAAATACTTGGCTGTCATGACATTTTCGTGTAGCTTCTGGTCCCAAAGCCTCTTGAGCAGGGCACTGGTTTCCATTGCTGGTAGTTAACTTTCATTTCCATTTTTCAATAAAGAACATTTTCTTTAAAGCTCTATTTATATATATTTACATTTCACAATTCATATTCAGCAAGTAAATGGAAAGAATAAAACACAGTTTGGACCATTGTGGCACAATTCAAGGTGGTCAGGTCTGACTATTTGGTCTCCATAGCTGTGCGGTTTTCCTGCGCTGGGCACATTACACATGAATCTGGTCTTCCTATTTTTAGTCTCCTGCCTGTTTTACCACAGAACACAGTCTCAAATTCCTAAAAGAATCAAAATGCAAAGAATAAATAACAATTACATTTAATGTAGATGTTTACTTTTGGATGTTTTTGTTTCATTAGTGTTTTGGAAAAATAAAACCCTTCAATAGGAAGTGCTGAGGGGCCATAGCAGGATCTAGACAAGCAGCTTTTCCCGTACACATTCCATGTACTGTCTTAAAATTCTTGGCAGAGCCAGAATTACTCTGGAGCTGCAAGTACTGGTGTGGAGCATGGGAGCTTCTTCTAGGACATGTAACCCTTTACACTCAGCCACTCTGAGATAGTGTGGGCATGCAGCTGTAAATCCATCCCTGAACTAATAGTTCATAAAAACCAACTAGAAGATGGTGAAAGTAGTAAAAAATAAAGAAAAGGAAGGAGGGGAGGAATGATTGAAGAGGACTTTAAATCTGTTTTCCAAATAGGATCACGCTCAGGAATTGGGTAGCTAAAAGAAAAAAATATTGATTTCAAAATCTGATTGGAAAACCCTGACTGAGGACAGCCTGTCATTTCTCACTAGTGAACTGAGCCAGTAAAAACCCAAAAATTTAAAGGAAGGTTCAAGGATATGGTGGGTCCTTCACAAACAGCATCAAGAATAAGCTTTCCATGTATGTTATACACTATGTTATGACCGCCTTAAAACATTTCACATTTTCCACAAGACCAAAAATGAAACCAGATTTCAAACCTGCTTCAGAGAGTCTCCGTGCCTTTCCTGAATGTACTTCAGGAACGCAGTTGTCCACTGCAAAGTTGTTGCCTTGTCAGTGTCAATCGTGCAGAACGGAACCAGGAGATTCAGCTCGTCACAACAAACCCGGATCCTGCGCCTGCAAACATTGGAAGTTATCACCCAGGGCCAGAGGGGAGGGAAAAACAAAACCAAAACTACCAGCCACAGACTTCTTTTTGTTTGCTACAAGCTTTGTGTATCGGTCACGCTACACACAAGTTACCTTATCTTCATAGAACAGGTGAAATGTTTTGAAATCTGTTTGTTTAAAGAGTAAAAACACAGCAAAGACAACCACAATAAGACATACATGTATTTTCCCTCTAAGGAGCACCAAACAGACCCTCATCACCTGCTTTGCTTTCTCTTGGAGCTAACACGAAACATGTCACACCTACATTTACTCTGGATAATCACAGTATTAGGGTTTCAAAAGGCTTTGCTCACAGAATTACCTTCTGTCTCTCTCCAGGCGGTTGTGTCGTTCCCTGCGCTGAGCACTCCCGTCCTGTGTTCCACTTGGGACCTGCACGCTGGAGCCAGGCTGCGCTGACTGCCAGGGGCCCTGGGCAGCTCCACTGCCCTGGCTGTTGTCACGGGCATTTCGAATCTCACCCAGAGGTTTGCGATCCATGTTTGGATCCAAGGGGTTTATTCGGCTGCAACTTCTGTTTATGGCTTGCTTGCATAAGGTGTCTTATTGGAAAAACAAAGAGGAAAAGAACCACCTATTTGTAATCCTCCCACTAACCTGAAAATAGTGATCATGGAGGGTTTTTTTGCCGCTTTGTTTCTGTGGAATAATCCCTGAAGCTTTATTGCTTCTATTTTCTCAGAGAGCCCACTGAGACCATGCCTGGTGAGCACTTGGGGCAATCCTTAAAATGTCCTTTAGTTTGGTGCTGACTGGATTTGCTGTGTCAGCTCTGGGGTCACAGAATGTGCCACTTTGCCATGTGGTTTGGTGGTATTTGGTCAAAGGTTGGACTTGATCATCTTGGAGGTCTTTTCCAACCTTAATGATTCTATAATTTTGAAGAAACCAGTTGCTTATCCAAGGCCCAGATTTTCAAAGGTACTTTGTAACCATGAGTTTCCTCACTTCAAGCTCCAAGTGTTAAACAATTTTGACAGTACAGCTAAACTAACAGGTGTTGGACTTTTCTGCCTACAGCACATCTCTGCCATAAAACCCTCACCTCCTACATCCACTAAAATCATACTCATTCCAGAAAAGACAAATTCAGGGTAAAAATGTAGATCTCAAGGCCAAGAGAAAGCTAAGTGAAAAGAAGATAAATGATTTACCTCCAACTTTAATCCAAACTTCCTCAGGCAAAGCTTTATTTATAGCACCTACTGTCTGTTTTGTGGATTCAACTTCCTGATAGAGGAAAGGGAATGTCTTGGGTATCCCAAGATCTTGATGTTTGGCAGCTTCCAAAATAGTGCAAGATGTTCCACAGGTCTGTGAAATTCAGAAAGGAAATACTTACAGGACTATATATATCTTAAGAAAAAAAAAACCAAAAAACAAAAACCACAACACAAAACCCCCCAAACAGAACCAAGAAAGAAAACCCAGCTATTTTGATATCTTCATGTTAACTTCTTAAGTTACTTCTTTAGCCAGAATAAATCCCAAATACTTCCACACTTAACCACAGGATTTTGACAGACTGATGAATTTTGGGGATACCTCTGACATTTCTGAGCGCCATTCTATCACTTTTGCTTCAGAGGTTGCTGCAAGTTGTGGAGGGGGAAATATTTTTATCATCAAAATAAATTAGAAAGGAACTGTAGAAAATGCTACTAAGTGGCTCCTTCTTGTCTTGCAAAGATAAAACTGATGATAAATAGATAAACTCCAGAAAAAGAGATATTTAATGGTCTACTGCTCATTACTGGGATACAGGTAATTACTAATTACAAGAATTACAAATGCCACACAACTTGAGCATATTCAAAAAATTAATAAAGGAATTGCATTACAGATCATTCTGATCATCCCTATTCAAACTCAGCCACACTTCACCCCGAACCTTCACAATTACTTGCCACCTAAGAAGTTAAAATTATCAGCATTTGAACTGGGCAGAGTGGAGTTACCTGTGCTTGGGAAGGATTAGCACTTCCAGCAGCAGAACATGCATTCATGGTAAAGAACGGGTACGTGAATGGCAAGGAATGTGTGGCAGGTGCAGCCTTATTTTTCCCAAGTGCAGCACACCTGTTCCCTTGCTGGTGAAGAGGAACACCCACCACTTCCGAGGGCTGGCGAATCAGTGTCACTAAACTTCAAAACAAAAACAAACAGAAAACATACCAGGCTGACTGCTTGAAATCGAGTGCAGAAAAATGTACAGCTACACATCTTTCTAGTAACTATCACCAAGAAACCATTTTCATTTACTGTAATCAGAAATCACTGTTATTGCCATATTGCCCACTTCAGGGACCAAAAAAAGAACAGGAAAATCAGCTGAGAAGATATTTTATCCTGTGCAATAACAGCTCACTTCACACCTCAGTAAAACATTTATCAGCACACTAAGACAGTTACAGGGCTAGATTGTAAAACAACATTTTTGCTCAAAGTTTTCCCCATAGTCAGGCCTCCACGTTGTAACACTAATCAATCGCTCTTATTGTTATGATCAAAAATCTACTTTGCTTTTAGCAAGCTGCATATTAAAACTAGGCATTGTTCTCTCGCCTTTATTTACAGTACATGTTATCAAGATTAAAGCTGTAAAGTAATTAATTTTGGAACTATATGCTGTACCATTTATGCAATACACAGAGGGGCCTAAACTGAGCTCAGCAGAGTTGCATCCACGTTTGATGGCACAGTTTAACAAAGCCCAACCCATCCTTCTCATGTATTAAAAAAAAAAAAGTACCGTTCTTAGGTTTCACTTAGAAAATCAGTTTTGAACTATACGATACATAGTTTAACAACATAAAGTAATTGCAACACACTTGTTAAGAGTTACTCCAGATTCTTGGGGTTCTTGACATCTGGGGTTTTCTGTCGGGCTGCTGTTGAATCTGTCTTCCAACCGAGCTCTGACTGCAGGTTTAGATCTAAGCTCTGGTGCCAGTGCCGAATTTTCAACAAATATGTTTTCTTTATTGTCCCCCAAGAAATTTTCACCCTGTTTAGCTTTTACTACACTGCATCCTGAGACTTCTACAGAGCTACTGTTGGGCGCTTTCTCTCTTTGGTTCAGAGGGAGGTTGGACTCGCTAAGCAACATCATTCTGAGCTCCTGCAAGTCAGCATAGCCCAAGTGTGGGTTAGAACTCGGCCAATAGCTGTCACAAGGTAACCCTGACTGGCAGGTAACTGGGCAGACCGACTGGTTCCCAGAGCTGCTGGACGAGCCCCCGTCCTGACTGGTGCTGGGGGAGGGCTGCTGCAGAGGGGGGTCTGCAGAGGGACCAGGCGAGGAGAAAGCGCTGAGCCTGGCTTCCACTTCACCTTCACTACTCTGAGCCTCCGTGTGCGAGCAAAGTATGTGCTGCAGCTGGGTGTACTCAATGTCCATCATCTCCACCAGGCTGGCCTCGGGGGTGGCGAAGCCAAGGTTTTGCTCACCAAAGGAACTGTCACTTGAGCCTCCAGGTCCGACAGCAACGGGAGCGGGGTCAGGAGCACTAGCTGGGCTCTGAGGAATGGTCTGAGGCTCCTCGGGGGCTGATCCTGACATGGCTACAGCAAACCTAATCGGTTACCAATGTCCCCTTCAACAGAAAACCACACCACCTTCAAGAATTGTGCTATCCATTAAAAAATAAAATAATAATAATAATAAAAAACAAACAACCCAACAAAAAATTGCACTTAACACTGATTCGCGAGGTTAACAGGGCGGGGACCAAGCTGCTGCTGGCGGGGTACCTGACACCCTGACCATGTCTTCCCCCCCCATTAAAGGTGAGACCCTCCCTCCCCCTCCAGCACAGCTGCTCAAGACAAACGGCCTTCACCTGTCCCCGCCCCGCGGCCTCGGCGGGGAGGCTGCGGGCACCCTCTGCGGCCTGGCAGCCCCCGTGAGGCCGCGGCGCTCGGGGGAGCCGGGGCGGGCAGGGCCGGGCGGGGGCGGCCGCGGGGCACGCGCGGCCCCCTCAGCGCTGCGAGCGCCGCCCCGAGCGCGCCGCGCGCCGCCCTCAACGGCCGCGCGTAACCGCCACGGCCCCGCGCGCCTCGCGCCCCGGCCCGCCCTCAGGCGGAGCCCCCCCACACCCCACACCCCACACCCTTCCCGCCCCTCAGAGGGGGCTCCGCCCGAGGCTCAAATTAAACCCCCGGGCCAGCTAAAACCGAGCGTTTGTCGGTGCTGTGAGGAAAATAAGAGCACACGAGCGTGCAGGGCGTGTTTGTCTGTGTATTATTTCGGGTTCCGGGCGCACGCTTTACTATTTGAGCTGACTCGCGGCCGGGCTGGCTGCGCACACGCTCTTGGCCCACGGGGGATTTAAACTAATCGAGTCTATTTACTGCTCAGCCTTCTTTCGTGCTAATCAAAAGTCTGGACAAAGCCAGCGAATCGTTTTTCTCTCTCCTGCCATGCAGGACAATCATTCAGAACCATTTGTTTCATCGTTGCTGGATAAGGGTGTTTTTCCCGTTCCCAGGAGCGTTTCTGTGAAACACTGAGGGGCAGCAGGTTCTTCCCTACAGTCGAGCCCACAGACCTGAATTTCTTCCTTCAAGATTATGTTACTAAATTATAAAGGCTTAAGTAGTTTGTCAGTGTTTAAAAAGTGTCTTCTGATAGTAAGTTATTCCAAAATACCTTTCTGGACTTACAAAGTGGTCCTGTCACAGCATTTCAGAATTAAAACCAGATGCCCATTACAGAAGACACATTCTAGAAAAAACCCAGGGTGTGAAAGGCACAAAAATGCCACCACTCCAGAATAAACCCCCAATTCCAACACTTTATGAAAGCTTTATCCCCTCCAGGTTAAAAAAAATAAAATCTGTATACTGCATATTCAATCAAGGCAGCACACACAGACATTTCCATGTCCATGTACCATATTCCATGAGGTGTAGCCAAAGTCTGACAGTCTCACTGATGACTCTGACATTTCAAGAAATTTCAAGAGTTTTGGGCACACTGAACTCAATACCCACTCTACTCCTTCTCTAATCCTCCTGCACATTCCCCCTTACAATGCTGACAGCTGGAATACTACGGCCTTTTATAGACATAATCATAGTTCTGTTTATATTGTTCTAGACCTTCCAGAGTCTTTTATAGAAAAAAAGGTTTAGCAAAATACCCTTGTGAAAGTTAATTTAGCTTAGTAAAAACATGGACAAAAGCTCAAAATATTGAGTTCTTTCATGTTAATCAAAAGTTTGGACAAAGAGAATTGTTTTTCTCTTCCCTGCAACACAAGACAATCATTCAGAACCATTTTTAGTCTCTGTAAATTGAGTTAAATTGTTGTGTTGGTTTCAGCCTGGCTTTTACTGACTGCTGCAGTGGAAACAAAACCCATGTGCCATCACTCTCTTCTGGTTTGTTGAGAAGTAGCAAGATGTAGAGAATAATATACACGTACATATTTAAGAAATGGACAACAGTTCTCTGTAGATGTTTATTCTACTTACAGTAACAAAAACCTGTGAACTCCCATATTTTAATGTACAGTGATATATTCTGCCATATAAAATACAATTTACAGAAATTTCTATCAAGGAAACCTAAACAAACACACTTGCTTTTTGCATACTTTTATGTATGTCTTTAAATTAGAAACATCTCATTAAGAAAAAAAAACCTTACACCGTAGTTGATGTTTTGCATTTATACCATTCCTTTGCATGTTACCGTTTTCCCTCGGGTTCAGAACACAGATCATCTTAGCCAGCAAACCCTGGATGGACAAAGACCTCAAGGATGCACCAATGTGACTGTGGTGACAAACAGGCTACCTGTCATATAATCCTCAAGATAAAAAATGCTTACAGGAATCTAATTTTACATTTCCAAACCTATTTTATCAAAAACCCAAAATATTTACCCGACTGTTAATTTACATGGGTCAAATAAATTAGTGGGGGTTTATTTCATGCTTTAGAATTACATACTTGAGGACTACATGAAAAGAAGCATTTTGCCATGAAAAATGTCCCTCTTCAATCACAACATGATGTACCCCAATAATTTAAAGTTTAATGCAGCTGTATCTTTTTCAGTGGAGTTTTATATACACTGCCAGCCTACAGTAGGGTCTAACAAAAGAACAGTAACACTCATTTTTCAAGAGCCCTTTTAGAATGAAAGAGCATTTGTAGAATGAAAAATTCAATCAAATTGGGACATTTCTTAAGTTTGTGGCAAAATTCTGCTAAACCAAAACAAAACCAAAAAATGCTCCACTAGATCAGTTCAACTGAACTATCTTATTCAGCGGCCTGTTTAACCAAATGTTTTCCTTCCTTTGGTTTACCAATTTATTTGTAGTCTTCACCTTTTTCAAATAAATGTCAGATGATTTTGTAGGTTTTGCTGGTTATAAAGGTGCTACTCTTGTATCTTGTTTAATGACAGGCTTGTAAAAATGGGATATTTAAAACATCATGAAAAATAAACTGAGTACAACTTGTCTCTTCGCTGTACACTGAAGAGATGGATTCCCAAACCACAACACCTGTATATAAAAGGAAGATAGTGCACTTTAAGCTTATAACATTCCATTTTCAAATCCTCCATCAGTCACAAGTAATTATTAACACTGTTCTTCTGCAGTCTTTTCCTAAATACACGTGACCCTTCTGTTGTAAAAGAAACATGACAGCAACATTTTTTAAGTGTGTGCTGTAGGAACAATTTTGACACCAAAATATCACGTAAATGGGATGTAAAGGTATGGCTCCTCAGGTGTGGATTAAATTCTCTTATAAAATTACAATTCAAGTTACTGGAAAACATAACTTTATAATCTTAAAAAGCAATATGCTCTTCTTAGACTTTTCCCATTTCTGTACTGTAAATGGAAACTTTAAGATAAAGATGCGAGTAGAAAAAACAAAATTTCAGTACAGGTAACATTGTGAATTTTTATAAGAAAAACATTATGCACAAAATGCCGCAAGTGAAAGTCCAATCTGTTCTTGCTTCTTATCTATCATCTGATTATTTTCATTCACAGTTGTTCAAAAATTGCTAATTTGTCAGTTCATTGGGTAAGGCTAGTTTTACAACAGAATTTTTGGAAAGGTGAGAATATATACAGTATGTACAGATGTGCAGTCCTTGCTGTGGTGCAAAAGCGGGATGTTTGTGGGAAATACAATATCAGTCATAGTTCTACGACTGATTGCTGGAAGATGAAGCTTCAGTTTCCGCCGGTTTCTGAGTTTCCTTCGGTGTTTCTGGCTTCGTGTCTTTACCAGTTTCCTTACTCTTACTCCTGTCTTTGCGATCTTTCCCTCTTTCCCTGTCGCGATCTCGATCCCTCTCTCGATCTCGTTCCTTCTCCCTGCTCCGATCCCGGTCTCTGTCTTTCTCTCTGTCGCGATCCCTGTCTCTGCTTCTCGATCGCTCTCTGTCACGTCTTCTGTAGGAGTCTCTCTCTCTGTTTCTTGTCCTATCTCGGTCTCTGCTTCTTTCCCACTCCTTACCTCGCTCTGAATCCTTGTCTCTATCTTTGTTTTGGTTCCTATCTCTGTTTTTATCCCATTCCTTGTCTCTGTGTCTTTCCCAGTCCCTATCTCTGTTCCAGTTCCTGCCACGGTCTCTTTCCCAAGGTCTGCCGTGTTCTCGATCCCTTCGTCTGTCCTCAAAGGCTCTGCCTTGGCGATTATCTGCTTGCTGAGGCTCTGGCTGATCTAAACCCTTGTCTTTATTTCCTCCCTCATATCTCTCTCTCTGTCTCCCTTCAAATGTCTGGCCTCTATATTCAGGATTTTTGCCTTCTCGGAAGTCAGGTGCGGACCACTGTCCTTCTGACTCAGGTCCTTGTCCAGACATATTGGAAAGAGATGCAGATGGTCCAGCTTCCTCCCACATCTCTTTTCTGTGGCTTGGTGGATGGCTTGGAAGGTCCAGGAGTGGTCTTGGTGGTGGTTTCATACCTTGCGGTGACTGACCCTGGAAATGAAATCTAGAGGGGGGAGGTTCATCTTCTTCTGGAAACATTGCAGGTGGGGCTCCTCTTGGTCCCCCAAACTGATGTGGTGCTGGACCTCTCTGGTTGGAAAATCTGGGTGGTGGGCTCCCTCTCCGCTCTTCATATGGCTGTGGCAAAAGTCCCCTTGGACCAGGCATATGATTTGGAGCTGGACCCCTCTGCCCTTCAAACTGATTTGGGTGAGGCCCTCTTGGTCCCCCAAAGTGACCTGGGGCTGGACCTCTTGGCCCTCCAAACTGAGGGCCTCCTCTCTGTCCTTTAAACTGAGCTGGTGGGGGTCGTCTTTGACCTCCAAAAGGAAAAGGTGAAGGTCCTCTGTTTCCCATAAATGGAGGGGAATCTGGTCCTTCGAACTGTCCTGGAGGCCCCATCATTTCATCATATTGGGAATCTGAGAATTCCCTTTGTTCCATGTGAGGTTCCCTGTGATCTTCAAAATGAGATGGTGACATTCCTCTTGGACCACCATGATAAGGGGCAGGGCCCCTATTATCACCAAAAAATGATGGTCCATGCTGTCCAGGAAATAAGGAAGGAAGGGGACCCTTTTGACCTCCAA